GATGTTATGAAAGTACATTTTAAGTTAAGTAGGTAATTGCAGTAAAATACAGAATTGTAAAATGAATTTTATTATTTTGCGCTCATATACACAAAAATATTGAAAAAAAAGAATTTTTGGAAGTTATTGTATAAAAATTACTTGGCACTCCTTTATATTTATTTTTTGTGTATTGGCAACTCTAATTTAATTTCTTTGCTTGATGTTACACCTTTTGTATTATATGTTCGGCCACTGATTACTATTTTTGACGTTCGCATTGTTTCTGTTGTGATTCATAAGGAAAGTAAAAATTGTGTAAATTTTATTTTTTTAATTGTTCAGTCGTATAAAATCAAATAATAACAAGATAATGGAAACTAATAACACTGCAGCTGAAAAACTAGCTGAGCGAAAGGAGCGTTTACGAAATTTGCATAAATTACGTCAAAATGCCCGTACAGAAAATCATCAAGAAGTCGTAGCTGAAGATGCTCGTAAAAAATTGCCAAATAATTGGGAAGCGCGAAAACGTCAAGCGGATTGGATAATAGCTGATGAAAAAGCTCGTACTGAAGCGAAAGCCGCAGGAAAGGACTATGAACGTTTAAAATTGTTAGAAGTATCTGCAGTTGATGCAGAACGCATCGAAAAGAAAAAAAGGAAGAAAAACCCAGATTTGGGGTTTTCCACGTACGAAGCACAAACAGCGCGGCAACATAGTCGATTAGTTAAAAATATGCCTCCGCGTGATATGGGAAAATATGAAAAACAAAAGGCTGAATTAGGTGATGCATTCTATGGTGGTCCAAACACAGTTTTGCATGGTTTGACCAAAGACACACCTGCCGCAATCAATAATATGGTCAAAGATTTAGAACAACAAATTGAACGAAGAAAGAAATACTCCAGACGACGTATTTATAATGATGATGCCGACGTTGACTTTATTAATGAACGTAACTCTAAATTTAACAAGAAACTCGAACGTTTCTATGGTGAGCACACTGCAGAAATCAAACAAAATTTGGAGCGTGGCACGGCCATTTAATTTAAAAGTGATAATCTAATTATGTTGATGTAAATAAATGAACATCGATTGAGAATATTTTTAGGTAATATTAAGATAATGTTTAAATAAAAATATATAAGTAAAAAATAAAAATTAAATAATAAAAATTTATTAGTGCGTTAAAATTTTTTATGTATTATAAATATTGAAAGCCCTCTAGTGACAGACGTTCGGCGTCCTTGTTTATTTGAGCCATAGTGTCTTCTGAAATGATACGCACGACAGTCTCGTCTGTGTCATCATTCGGATTATCGTCTAGAATATATAGCAAGCCGTCATCTTCATAAGTTGGAAAAAAGTACTCAGGTTTATCCCATTGTTTTTTAGTTCCAATACCAAGATGCTGCTGTGTTATCATGTGTTCAAATAAAAGTTCTGAATTTTCACAACGTAAATTGCAAGTAACACAACGAAACAGGCATATTTGACGTCTCACATAGTTAACGACTTTGATTTTTTGATAAAAATTAAGAGAACGTATGCTTTCATCAAAGTCTACCTGATGTTTATTAAGTACATGTTCTTTGAAGGACTTGTAGTCATTTTCTTTTTGATTACAAAACAGACAATTCAATGGTGGAAGCTTGTCATCATTCCAGTCGGACCAATCTGAATCGTTATCATCACTACTATTCTTAATACGTTGATCAAAATCAACACTGCCCTCGTTAATACTTGTTTTGGGCTCTCCTCTTGTAATATTTTTGGACGTTTGTGGGTTTTCTTTTCGAGATTTCTTATTTTGGTTAAAATGTTTTGAAGTTTTGTTTTGTTTATCTATGCGATAATTTTCCAGATAATATTTATCGTAGGTTCGATTACTCTCGTTGATACGTTTATGACCTTTCTTACGCATGTGTTCTTTAAGTGCAATGCGGTCTTTAAAAATCTTTTCGCAATAAAGACAAATAAGATGCTCTAGGTTATATTGCACCTTGGATATTAGTTCATCTACGTAAACAAGATTTTCTGGTTTGCCTAATTGTAAAAAGTGTTTATTGAAAAGATGTAATAAGTAATCAGATCGTAGACCACTGATTACATCCCGACAATATAAACATTCCTTAGAAAAATTACGATCAGTTAGCTCGAATTGATGTTTAGCTAAAGCTCTTTCCAGACTCTGATGTTGCAACCGCTTTCGTAATTCAAAATCTTTAGGAAGTATATCGCAGAGTAAGTAATATCTCTCGTTCTTAGCTGGCCTCCCATCTGGCAATTGATCTAGTAACATAGTTGTGCAATATTCTTCAAGTTCATGATCTAAAATAAGAAGAAATAAGTGCTGTAATAAAATATGATAATAATATAGTATTTAATTTTAAATGGAGGAAAAACAATAAAAACTTAGTAAAAGTCTACAGTATTCTAGTAATCTTATGAATGAATGAATCTGATAAAAAAAAAACTCTCAATTTCATAAGAGTTCAAAATATTCAAATTTATATACTTGTTGTTCTTATATACAAATTCATATATATATACATACTTTTAAATTCAGTTTGCCAATATAATAAATAATCTGTTAAACAAGCTATGTCTTCAACATCTGCAATAACTAAGCGATGTATAAGAAATAAATGCGCTAAATATTCATCCTTGTCCCTTGGGAATGTATAACTATTGTCACATTTTAAACAATCAATTGTGCTATTTTCATTATCTTCGGTATGTGACGATTCATTAAATAATAGCACCGGAAGAACTTCAATTGGAGTTTTAAATTTCTCTAACGCTTCATCCATTTCTATATTACATTAAGAAAATCTTGATTTTGAACTCAAAACCTTAGAAAAGGCAAAGTATTTTTTGGAGCTTGAAAGCAAAACATGCCAAAAAACAGCTGTGAAAACGATTCCGTAATAAACTATTCACAATAATCACATACAAAATTTTCACAATTATCTGGCACTTAATACTAAATTTCTTGTGTAAATTGTGTAAATATGCAGTTCTTGTTTGCGATCTTTTATGAAAGATCGCTTACCGTATGTAGTTTTAGTGAAATTAGAGTAAATAGTTACTTAAATTTAAATAAAAACTTATTAGTTATAATTAGGATTTAAAAAGTATAGTTTTTTCATAAAAACAAAGCGGATACATTAAATTAAAATGTTGTTAAGCTTATTTTTTCCCAAAACTTATTACAAACAAATTATTACAAGTAAATATTGGAAGGTATATTTGATATAAGATAATAGATAATATAAATAAAAATTGTTTAATTACTTTTAAAACGAAGCTCAAATAAAGAACATTACGCTAGAAATAATTCGTTATAAGCTTTCAAATTATAATATAATTATAATGTTGTTTCAAATTTATTAAACTAAGTAGAGAATCAACTATTTCGGTGATTCTCAGATTAGTACAAATTTGATTAATAGTGCTGCCAGTCCCAAGTGTCGTAATAATAACTTAAAATGAACTTTTGTATAGAAATTTGTTAGCTATCTCTCTCAGCTGTTTGAATCGTGTGTAAATAATTTTCACTGTTAACGTATGTTTCGCTTTTGCTGTTGATGCGAGTGCTGCCAAGGAAATTACACACAACAAACTAATCAGATTACGCATTTTGGGTCGTTCAAGCAACTGATTAACATCAAAATGCTAAATTGTTTTTATATGAAGTTTTTGAATCAACTAAACAACTAATCAGTTGCCTGAATACCCCTAAAATAAAGAAGTGCTCAACTAACTCTTGAAATAATTATAAAAAGAGCACAAATAATAAACTATGCTATTTGACGTCGCTTTAGACTATTTCATGCAAATAATTTTTTTTTCGCACAGCTAAAGAGGTATTAGAAAATTAATACGTGTGTCGTAATTTGTTGAAATATTTTTTGGTTGTAACTATTTTTTAATTAAATATGTTTAAGTAATTTTCCATTTATAACATGAGAACATATATTTGATCGCTCCAAATATTTATTCTTTCTATTGTGAATAGTATATTTTTGAGTCCTCAACTCTACATACGGAGAATAAAAAATGTCGTCGTATGACAGTCCAGTGATAAATAATATTTTTTCGTAATAAGATTATTTTTCTGTTAAAAGTTTTATCATTATTTCACAATATATTCTTTTTTTTAATAAATATTTGTGTGTATATTAATATATTTCAGTCGCAATAATTCACAGCTATATAGAATTGTATAGAATAAGTTATGAATTATAGCTTTAAAGAAAGTGTTCGTGAAAATATATTGCAAAAACGAGAACAAAAGATAAAAATCGTATTAAAATAAAAATTCAATTTGCATTAAAGTTTTTTTTTGTGGTAAGTGTATTTATTATAACGCAAAACAATATAAATTTATAAAAAGAAAGGCAGTAATTCCTAATGTTTGGTATTATTCATTCATTATTAAAAAAAATTTTGAAAATTGGGTTGTTTGTTTTCGAAATATATTACATATATAATTGTGTTTATCTGTGCAGTGTGTATTAATTGGATGCAATATTCTCCCTTTGTCAATTCATGGCGTACAGTGTGGTCTATTTTCGTGGGTGGTTTATTATTTTGCCTTCTTGAAATTTTATTCTATTCTTTCGTTTTATTACATTTCATTTTTGCGGACAAGGTACAAATTTAACGCAGACACAAAATAAATTTTCATATGAAATTTTATCAAATACATAAATTGCTTTATCAATGTCACCTGTTTTTAATGCCAGTATGTGCCGCTTTCGCCACACAGTTTCAGTCGACGACATAAAACACATATAAAGGTGCTGATAATATATAAAAATAAACCCGTTCACTCCTTTACTTGATAACTGCTTGTGCTTTCATACGTAAGATATGTTTTTATTTTGCAAGTTGGAAATTATTTCCGCTGATAAAGTCTACTCGTTTTGCAAAAAGCATTCCCAAAAAATAAAAAAATTGGAAAATATAAAAGTTTTGTTGTTTTTGATTTTGTTGTTTTTCTTGCAGTAGCAAATTTTGTCATTTCTTTTTAATTTCCATTCATTAAAATTTTTTCTTTTGAAATTTTTAAGTTTATGCTCTGTTTTTGGATTCAAATATTTTTTTTTGTATTTTTGGTCTGTACTTGTTCCTTTCGGAAAATTCGGAGGCAATACTGATTAAGAAGAGTACAAGATAGCATTCTCAACAATTAAGAGACAACTTTGTATACATTTTAATAGGTCTATTCCACCAGTTACTCATAGTCAAACTCGAGTAAAACACAAGTAAAGTATCAATTGAGAGCGTAACACAAACCAAGTGCCAAATTACACTCTTTACATAGATTTTCATGGAACAGCTTTGTGTAGTCTGGAGAACACCAGTACCGCGCAAATAAATAATACAAAAGTTTAAATTCAAACCAAAACAGCTGATTCACACATCAACACAAATTTTACTTGAAATAAAATGTACGAGTAAAGTCTGTGCAGCATTTTCAAATTTCGACAGGGATGTTACGCTCTCTCATTTACTCGAAAAGTTGCTGGTAGAACGCACTGTGTTACACAGTGTTATTTAAAGTTACTACGAGTAGCTCATAGAACATACCTAATAAGAAGTTTGTTGAGTTGTTTGTAATGATATTAGTGACACAAATACACTTATGTATATATCCTCACTTAGTTGACTATAAGAATCCATCTAATATTGTTTCAACACAGTTGTTTGTGTTGCACATACCGAGCGATTTTATAGAAAACACCTCGTATACTTCGTGTTAACGGAGTTATATTTATCGTAATAAGCAGAATCAGGTAACCCATGACTCCATATACATCATATAATTAAAACTGTACAGTCTGTGTAGATTTTTCTTCATTTGGTATGTGATCAATTCAGATAATATGTATTTGACATATGATGATTATTTATATATAAAGGTTCTGATGTATTTTTAATTGATTATTAATTGATAAAGAGGCTGAAATGGTTCTGATTTAAGTTTTTCTAGAAAACACTCTACTCTATACCATTTATAACACTTGAATATTAAGTATGGCTACTATATTATTATGACAAACTGTATCGATCGGTTTTGTTTGTTAGGATTTTAACTTTAATTTCGATCGACTTTAAAGTATTCTCGAAGTACCAACTTTTTTTAAAACAAAAAAAAAAGTATCGATCAGTTTAAATTTGGTAATTCCTACTATATAAGGTGAAAAGTGATCTTCAAATTTATCAAGAACTGCTGTATTTATCTATAACTTTTAACCAAAATTTTCATTCCAGTATTTTTAATATTTCTGTATGTATATTAATTCAGATGCAGATACAATATGAAAATCTTTTTGATTTTTTACGTTATTTTCTTAAATTTGGTTATTTAGCAACTATACTTTAGTATATATTCTGCCGAAATAAAAACAAAATCGTTCACGTCTACAACAACAACTTTGTGTAAAGGGTATATGAGCTACGACTTTGTATGCCTTAATTTTATATAACATTATATATTATGAAAAAAATTTAATAGCAATTTATTTCAAACAGTGGTGCTTTGTTTAATTGAACTATTCAAAAACAAACAGGTTTTACTAATATTAATTAATGTTTTGACTTTTTTTACAAAACTGGACACATTATAATAATAAGCTATAATAAGCTAATTATATTAAGGTTTAATACTTCAGTGAGTTGGTTATTTTATATTTTTAATCAATCGAATTAAAAATTCGATTTTCTCATCGTTTAAAATGTATTCATTGTATTCACAAATATCTTATAGATTACATATGTATGTAAAGGATTTTTAATATCTTCTATGCATATGCATCCACACCTACTGGTGGCAAATGTCACACCGAAATATTACTTTGCATTATAAGTATGTTTAATATGTGGTTTTCTTTACTTGTAAATTTTTGACGTCAAATGGTTATTGTGCAGACGAAAGATATATTATGACGGCAAACATGTATTAACTGGTCATAACTAGTATTTTTGATAGCAAATTTTATTTTGGTTATCAGCAGTGATTAGGGAACACCTTACAACGATTCGGTTTATTTATATACAGTTATTATGAAAATTTTCATAAATTATCTACATCAACAGTTGTTACCCGTGGTTCTTAGCTTTGCGTCTTCTCTTTTTTTACTCTCTTCAATGTTCTCTTTGACACAACAGGTGCTAACAATAGTTTTATTTATGCATTTAATATTTTTTTATTATTATTTTTAGACTTTAATATATTTTTTAGCTTTTCCATAATATAAATTTGAATCAATAAACCGTCCAATTTCTTTTTAATTTTTAATGTATAAATGTATATATAGTTTTATCTATGTCACACATAATTTATAATGTTTAAAAGCTTAGTGCGGGCGTGTTACCAAAACCGAGCAATAATAAAACTAGCGAGGAATGGAATTCGGTCGTCAAAGTGGCGCCATGGAATTAGATAACAATATTGATTTAATTGATAAACTTTATTTTTTTAGTATTTTTATACCCTATATACTTTGTAAATAAAATATATGTTGTTCATCGTTGTCGATCGAATCAAAACTTTGCACAGTGATTGTCAATCTAATCAGATCATTGTCACCAAACAATATCATGTACCGTCTATTCTGAGAAATGTCAGGCATATAAAGTAACTATTATACATGCTAATATTAACACTGTCTGGTCGAAAAGGAAAGGGTCTTTGACCGCAACTGGCCAAAGATTGGTGTTGACAAACAAGGTGACCACGATTCCTTCTCGTCTTCAGAACTACCAATACTGTTGTGATGAGCCGGTTCCGCTTTAGTTAAAACAGCTAACCGGTGCGATTTTTGTTCAGTTTGAGGCAAATAGATGTTGAGATCTGACAGGAATTTTA